AGGAAGGAAGGAAGGAAGGAAGGAAGGAAGGAAGGAAGGAAGAAAGGAAGGAAGGAAGGTGACTCTTAAGGGTAATAACATTAAACTATGTCTGATACATGCTAAGAACTCTCTTCTATTCCTCTGCTAGTAGAAATCTCACTAGTACCAAAGATTTTCATGTGCAGGTTTTGGGTAGGCTGAGCGAGACGGTCTATCTCCATCCATCACTTTTTCAAGCTGTGCAGACATAGCTTCTCCAAGCCTCCTTCTCTCTGTATGTGGGACTGGACAAAGGAATAGTGTGTTCTGACATAGGATAAACATAAGGAATAAATGTGAAAATACAAATCAAGTTCTTAGCACAGTGCATGGAAACCAGTAGAATTTTTATAGACACAGAAATTAATGGCAGTCAGCGAAGCCCAGCCCTGTCCTCGCCTCTTTGTGACTGTCAGGATGTCCCTTCCATGAGTGCCTATTCAGAAGTGACCTGTTGCATCTCTCCAGGTAGACTTGAAATTCAAACCATTCATTGAACACGTGGACTTAACTGAAAACATATCTGTACACTCATGTCTAAACAATCCACTGAAGGACCCCATAATTAATCCAATTCAGCCATTATCACAAGGCTATAAAACATATCATTAAACCGCCAACATGGTACTTTCAGCTCTTCCCCACAATTCATTTCAACAAGAATCTAAGTACCTAGTAACCAAATTAGTTTGTCTATGCAGTAACCCCAACAACTGTACCAGCATCAGCACTTACAATTACTCGGAATAGCTAGCATTTTATTTTCAGTTTGACTGAACTATCTAGATAGCACATAAAACATGCTTTCCAATAAGAGCAAATTGCTAACAGTCTTTATTAACAATAACAACTGGCATTGTTCTAAGTTACCAGCTATGAGTACCACACTAAGGACTTGGTAACTTTATCAATAGTTACTATTATTATCCTTTTTCTCCAGATGAGGAAACCAAGGGTCTAGAGAATTAAGATCAGAGTTTCCAAGTAACAGAATCAAGATTTAGAAGGCCAAGTCTATTCTGGCCCAGGAATATGAGCTCATTTTTAAAATAATATTTTTTTATGCTTTGACAATTCCAAATATGTTTACAATGTATGTTGATACTTTGATCATATCCACCTCAACCCCCGACCCCAACTCTCGCTCCTCTTCAACACATCTTCCTCTTATTATCGTGTCTTTTTCATCATTTCATAACCCACTGAGGCCATTAGTGCCCCCACATACAATTGAATGGGGCATCTACTGGAGTATGGGCAACTTACAGGTGGCCTTAACTCCCAAAGAAAACTGACTTTCTCACCCTAACCCCCCAATAGCCATCAACTACCATTAGCTCATCATCTAGGGAATGCTAGGGGTCAAAGGTGTAAACAGCATGAACTCTTGAATAACAAACACTACTACAGATTCTCTTTGGGAGAATCTTTGTCAAACTCTGAAGTTTTGTGTCTGAATTAAGAAGCCGGTAGGCACAGACATCATTTAGTCTTTATTAGTTGTGTGATCTTGGTCGAGCTGCTGAAACTTTCTGAGCCACGCTTTCCCCGTCTCATAAGCAAGCATGTACAAACATGAGTCAATGCACAACCTTGGCCTTCAGTAAGTGTTTGCCATTCCTGCCCTCGGGTTTCTGTCTTCTTTTGGTCTAACCTGTATATTCTTTTAGGAGGAAAAAAAATCATTCAACCAGTTGGTCATTGGCTCAGACCCTGGTCAGACTTCAAGAATAGATAGTTCTGTATTCAAAATTATTTGCATTTCTAAACACGGGTAACACATGTGCATTCCAATCATTGTGTCTTCTAAGCAATGCCTTACAAGGAGTCTCACTGTACCTGATGAAATGAAGCCCACCCTCAGGCTTCAGTACCATTCAGTGGCTGTGGCGCTTCCATTCAGGGTACCACTGGCCACAAAGCCGGAAGTGGTCTCCTGCTGGGTGTGTCCCAACAAAGCTTGGAGCGAGCTAGAATTCACAGGAGGTCAGCAGCCTGGGAGGAGCTTGGCAATGGGAATGGAAGAGCTGCCTCAGCCCAACTTCGGAACAAGCTGACTGTAGTGAATGTGTCTCCCCTTTGGTCTCCTCCAGTACCTTCAAACACCTTCTCTACATCTGAGGAATTCCCCAACTGATAAATCTCCACATCCCACAGTCAGTCAGATACTTCCCAAGTCAGATTGCCAGCAACACGGCTCTCATCTCCATTTGCTTGGAGTCTTTGATCCTCCCAACAGGAGTCAGAGCCTATGTCCCACTCATAGAATCTGGGCATGAGTCATGTCAGGGGTCTTAGAGATGAGGCATGGAGAGAAAGTGATAACTTCTACCACTACCATCTTGGGACTTGGTACTATCTTGTGAGGACGTCTTAGCTAGGCTCTTTGAAGAGGAGGTCTTGTAAAGAGTGAGCAATAGCCAGAAAGACCAGCTACCAATCACATAAGTAGGCCACACAGACCCTCCAGGCCCATCTAAAGTAGCCAGACAGCCCGCAAAGCACAGTTAGCTAAGGCTGTGTGCTAAGGAAGGGCTCATCAGGCAAGTTCCTTGTTATAAAAACATCACCAAGTGCATTTGTGCAAACTTAGATGGTAGCTCGATTATGCAAGGTAGCCTCTCCATGCAATCAAGAGACGGGGTAAACACAAGCTGTACGAGGCTGCTGCTGGCATAACATAGCAAATTGTCTCACTATAAACTTTGTTTCATGTGAGTGGAAGGATTAATTTCTAAAATATTAGCTAAAGGTATGGCATAATAGATACAGAAACCAGTAACACGGTCCTTTCCCATCATTATCACTTTTGTGCACTGAACTCAAATGCACATATTATACTTTTACACAATGGTTTGGTGGGATTATTTACCCCAGCCTCACCACAAACACAAGTAAGGTAGAATGCTTGGATGTTAAGATGGATACTAGGACGTTTCTAGCTCCACTATAATCTTAAAAGTCATTGTGTTATATGTGGGCCATTGTTGACAAAAATGTCATTACGTAGCACAGGACTAGCTGTTTTAAGCCACTATGCCTTGAGGTACTTTATTATACAGCAATAAATGGCAGAGAAAAACCAATACTTTCCTTCACTCTCCATCATAGATAGAAGAAGAAGAAAACAAACTTGTGCTCTAAGGCCCAGCAACAAGACTTTACTTCAGATTCGAGCAAAAACCAATGACTCAAAGTAGCCTCTGTGAAGAGGAGAGGAGAGGTGACCATGTCTGGTTTCCAAGGTGACACTGTGGACCTCTAGGAGTGGCAATGATGTTGCCAAGGAGCCACCCCTAGAGATGTCTTGAAAATATTCCTTCTGGGTTTGTGGCCTCCCAGCCTTAATTGAGCAGTACCCCCAGAAGCAGAGACCAAAGCACAGAATTAGGAAGTCAAGGGGAGAGGAAGGAGAAGAAAGAAAAGTGAATAAGTGTGAGCAACTGGAACTCAGACCTCCTGAGGACCCACCAAGGAAGCCTCAAAATGAAGTCCAGAGACTCCACTCAAATGTAGGAGCTAGAGGAATGGAGGACACCATGAGAACATGGCCCACAGAATCATCTAAGCAGGACTCCTAGGGGCTCACAGAGATTGATGTGACAATTACAGATCCTGTATGGGTCTGTGCTAGGTCCTCTGCATGTACATTATGGTTGTGTAGATTGGTGTTTGGGGGGGACTCAACAGTGGGAGTGGGGGTGTATCTGACTCTTTTGCATTCTCTTAGGACCCTTTTCCTCCTACTGGATTGTCTCATCCAGCCATGATATGACAGTTTATGCCTAGTCTTATGGAGACTCGTTACACCATGTTTGGTTGGATATCCCTGGGAGGCCTGTTCTTTTTTGACGGGAAATGGAGAAGTAGATGGTGGTGGCGGGGGCGGGGGGGAGGGGGGACTAAGAGGGGTAGAGGGAGGGGAAACTGAGGTTGGGATGCAATAGATGAGAGAACACATTTTTTTAATTAAATAAAAAAGATGAGAGTGTAAGCATCCCGTCCCCATCTCTTTAGGACCATATCTGACAGCATTAACTGCCTAGTACTTCCAGGCTGGCTGCCCTGTGAAAGAACTGGGAAAACTCTGGGCTTTGGAGAAGCCCTGAGTCAGAAAAGGGGGACCAGAGACAAGACTCTTAGGGCAGGATGTAATCCTCATGCAGGGGGACCACCACCACTGAAGTTAGAGGTGCCCCTGGAGATGGAGGATGAGCACAGACACATCTGCTGTGTTTCCCACCTTCTCTTCAGCCGTCTGCAGGCTGATGCTAACAACTGGTTCTCTGAGAGGAAGCCGCCAGCCACAGCAGGCTCGGACCGGAATGCTTGCCTATGGCCATGGTGTAAATACTCCTACCCCAGCTGAGTACAAGCCGCCAACACTGACATCGGCCAGATCTCAAAGGACCTGCAACTTTAATAACTGGCCCAGCCCACAACTGCTGAATAGTTTTTAATGGGTTCCTTTTCCAGGGCCTGGAGACTTGGCTCACTTGGTAAAGTGTTTGCCACGCAAGCTTAAGGACCCAAGTTCAATCCTCGGCATCCATGTAGAAAGCTGGGTGCAGAAGCACGTGGCTGTAATCCTCCTCGTGCTGGACAACGGAAGGTGAGACTGGAGGTCTCTGGCTAGGCAGTGTAGCTGAGTCAGTGAGCTTCAGGCTCAGAAAAGGACCCTTTCTCAATCAATCAAATAAGGTGGACAATGATCAAGGAAGACATCAAATGGCAACCTTGGCTTCAACATACATACATACATACATCCTCACACACGTACACCCACACGCACGCATATATGCACACACACACATACACGTGAATACAAATACACACACACACACACACACACACACACGTTTAAAAAAAAAACATAAAAATGAAGTCCTTTTCTACATAAGCTAACTATGAATGTTAGACCAAAAGTTTGAGCATTGGACAGCAGCTGCCAGGAAGGAAGAACAGATAGGTTGGAAGCTCAGGCTTGGGCAAGCCCTCCAGGCAGGCTCTGTAGACAGGTATCTGCTTTCAAGCAATTTCTCCAAGCACCTCTGAGCCTTTTCTACATCTCGGTACACGAGTTCTGACCCCACACACGAGTTCTGACCCCACGAGTAGGAAGTGCCGTTGAAGTCCTGAAGTCCGCAAAACCTTTGAGGGGGGCGGGGCTTGGGTCAACAATAACAGAGTGTTTTCCAACGAGAAAGTATTTCCAATGTCAGAAAACTCTCCTTCGCCTGAAAAC